TAATACCCCGGACAGACTATGGCTTATATCATGTAATATAGGCTGGCTTGCAATAAGCACTCATATATAGGATTTCCAGTGAAAACTAGATGTATGAGTGCTCATTGCAAGCCAGCCTATATTACATGATATAAGCCATAGTCTGTCCGGGGTATAACGCAACCAACTCAATTTGACAGCTTTCTTTCTTTAACATTGCTTAACGATGTATACGACAAAACGTGAATTCAAGTGTAAAAATGATCCTCAAAAGTTTTGTTACGTGTGTGGCAACTATATATTTACAAAATCGGTCAATTTCACTGCTTCGTTGCAAACTGCATACAGGCTTTATTTTAAAATTGATCCTGGAGACTTTGACGAACCGTGCATCCCTTACTGCATCAAGGGAATGAGAAACCTTCTATTCCATTAGCTCATGCCGTTAATATGAAGGAAACGTATGAATCAATGGCTCTATTGCTCAATTTGATAAATTACAATCAACACAATTCGAAAATTTTTTCCGATCTTAAAGTGGTTGCCATGTTGACTGGATTGCAACAGGGATACACAAAATATATGTGTTTTTTGTGTAAATGGGACAGTCGAGCTCGTAAGGAACACTACGTCCGAAAAGATTGGCCAAAACGAGATAATTTCACAATTGGTAAAGACAACGTTAAAAATGATCCTCTTGTGGTAAAAGAACGCATAATACTTCCACCACTACATATAAAACTTGGGCTATTCAAAAATTTCGTCAAAGCGTTGCAAAAAGAAGGGCCGGCATTACAGTACTTGAAATCAGTATTTCCAAATTTATCTGACGCAAAGATAAAGGAAGGTGTATTTGTTGGCCCACAGATCAAAAAACTGCTCAATGATTCCGCATTCAATACAGTTTTGACACCAGATGAGGAAGAAGCGTGGAAATCGTTCCAGCGTGTTGTCACAACCTTTTTAGGAAATTTCAGAAGCCCAGATTATGAGGAAGCCGTAGATGAATTGCTCAAAAATTATGAGAAAATAGGTATAAATCAAAAATATTGTGTTTGTTACATATAATTAATTTCAAATCCTTTTATTTCACTGAACACAGGTGTGAATATGTCTTTGAAGATACATTTCCTACATTCTCACATGGATTTTTTCCCGGAAAATCTTGGTGACGAGAGTGATGAGCACGGCGAACGTTTTCACCAACAAATGAAGATGATGGAACGTCGTTACCAAGGGTTTTGGGATGAAGCAATGATGGGTGACTATTGTTGGTTTCTGATTCGAGAAACAAGTTCAAAACATCGAAGACAAAGTCATTCGATTCTCAATCATTTTTAATAAAACTTAAATAAATTTCTTTTGTATCAACTCGGTTTTAAATCCTGATATGCCTTAATCAAATTGATATGTAGAGAAAAGAATCTCCCATGAAAACTTTACATGCTATTTGGATGCTTACAACGACACCTAGGAAAGGAACTCTAAAGCTGTTGTATTTCAGCAACATTTTTAAGTGTTTTACAAAAATGCTCATAACTTCGACAATTTCCAACCGATTTCATCAATTAAAGGCTCATTTTCTCCGGTTTTGAATGGACTTTAAGAATAAATTATGGAATGATTTTTTGAATCTTTTTATCCCATTAAAAATGTTGATTAAAACCAGATTTTTATGGAAAATTCGCAGAAAAAATAAAAAAAATGCTGTAAATTTTTAAATGACTTCAAAATTAAATTTTAAATTAAGACATAATATTCTAGTGAACGATAGCAAATTTATTTAGCTTCACTTTCATAAAAAAAGATTTAAAATTGGTGCACTAGTTCCAAAGATATTGACATTTTAGTAATCGTACTTTTGTCCAAAATTCAAAAAATCAAAATTTTTGTATATCTCAGAAATGGCTCTACTTTAATTTTTTCTGACTACGGCATTGAATTCAGCGTAGGATTTTGCATTGGAAATGATCATCACCTTACCGAGTTCAAAAATGCTGTAAACTAGTGTTATTTGCTGATGTTTGCTCCTCAAGAAATTTCAGAGTGTCAAATAAATTATTTGATAGTATTGAGCAAACATGCTTGACAAACAATAATAAAAGGCCAAACTATTTGACAAAATGCCAAATAATTGAAATGTCAAATACACGTCAAATATTTGCCATAGCAAAAATTGGTCAAATATATTTGGCCATTATACTTTGGTCAAATATATTTCAAGCTGAACATTGCATTAGGTCCTAAGTAACATTGACAGATTCTCTTCGCCGACTTTCTCTTTGTATCCCCACGGCCATGTAAAGACATTCCCAGGTATTTTTATAACACAGATCGATAAAAGAAGCTTTAATCTAGCATCTAAAGGGTGATACGTTCAAAATTTGGTCAATATCAACTTGACGTATTACTTTCAATTTTGCATTTAAAAAACCTGAACACCCCTCATTTTGAAGGTGTGTGTGTGTAGAATGTTGCTCCTATTTTGATTTTGGAATTCACTCTTCAGTTGTCAAAATGCCGTCCAAGCAAGAAGAGCAGCGTATCAAAATTTTGCTCGCGCATCGCGAAAATCCTAGCTACTCGCACGCAAAGTTGGCAAAATCGCTAAAAGTTGCCAAATCAACCGTTACAAATGTAATTAAAGTGTTTGGGGAACGTTTGTCGACAGCCAGGAAGTCTGGATCGGTGGGAAATCGAAAACCGGAAGCTGCTGAGACGACAAAGAGAGTTGCCGGTAGTTTCAAGCGAAACCCTAACCTCTCTCTCCGAGATGCCGCAAATAAGCTGGGTGTATCGTCTACAACCGTGCATCGAGCCAAAAAACGAGCCGGACTATCGACTTACAAGAAGGTAATGACTCCAAATCGCGATGATAAACAAAATACGACGGCCAAAGCGCGATCCCAGAGGCTGTACACGACGATGCTGATGAAGTTTGACTGCGTGGTAATGGACGACGAAACCTACGTCAAAGCCGACTACAAGCAGCTTCCGGGACAGGAGTTTTATACGGCAAAAGGAAGGGGAAAGGTAGCAGATGTTTTCAAGCACATGAAACTGTCAAAGTTCGCAAAGAAATATCTGGTTTGGCAAGCCATCTGTACCTGTGGCTTGAAAAGCAGCATTTTCATAGCTTCCGGGACTGTCAACCAAGAAATTTACGTGAAAGAGTGTTTGAATAAACGTCTGCTGCCTTTCCTGAAGAAACACGGTTGTTCCGTACTGTTTTGGCCGGATTTGGCATCTTGCCATTACGGTAAAAAGGCCATGGAGTGGTACGCCGCCAACAACGTGCAGGTGGTTCCCAAGGACAAGAACCCTCCCAACACGCCAGAGCTCCGCCCAATTGAGAAATACTGGGCTATTGTCAAGCGGAACCTAAAGAAGACCAAAAAAACTGCTAAGGGCGAGCAGCAGTTCAAGGCAAACTGGCTTTCTGCGGCGAAGAAGGTGGACAAGGTGGCTGTACAAAATCTGATGGCAGGGGTCAAGCGTAAGGCCCGGCAATTCGGATTTGGAAAAGCGGAAGCCTAACTGAATATTTTTCCTGAATTTTATACTAATTGAACTTGAAAAAGAAATTTAATTTGATTTTTTAAATAAACGATTTCACCGATTTACACGCGTTTTCCCTTGACCAAATTTTGACCGTATCACCCTTTAATACGACAAACTCATCTAGAAACGGTTATGTGCTCAAGTTATTAACGAAAGAGAATCGATCAGTGTTACTTAGGACCTATGCAATGTTCAGCTTGATTTGTCCAAATTCACCAGTGTGATTAAAGAGCCTGAATTTATAAAGAGACGACATGTCAAAATTGGAACAATCGATTATCTGTCAAAGTAATAGGAAAAGTCATTCCAATCGAGCAGAAGACCTGTTAAATGGATAAGATGTCGCCTCTTTATAAATTCAGGCTCTCTTTAAGTGTGATGATAGCTATTAGCACTTTAGGCTTAATCCTGCTCTCCAAGCATGGTTATTTCTATCAGACAAGAAGTTAGATTTTAACAACTGTGACTGGGTTTTGCACTAAAATCGGTCGATCGATAACACAGGGATTTTAGAACATGGTTAGGTTAGGTTATCTTAATTAGCGAGACTTTCAGCCAGAGGCTGGTTCATCTCTTCTTAGAACATGGAAAATAACTATCAAAATGACACTTTTATCCATGGTTAATAGCCTTGGGCGTGACATAATTAAAGAACGTTCCCTAATTTAAATCTCGAAATAAATTAGCTACACTCTAAAAAATCGTCACGTTAATGCTACGTGAGAAATTACGTAACCTCATTAACACTTTAACTATAGACAAGAAAGATTTTTGGTAGCAACATATCCTTCGGCGCAATGATAATAAATCAATAAAAACTGTAAAGCTGGGTTTAGACAGGGCAAGTCAATTTATCAAGTCAGTTGAATTCAACTGACTTGAACGCGAATTGAACGTGTAAACCATGCCATTCAACTGACTTGATCAACTCACTTGAATTGAAAAAAGTTGAACCAGACTCAACTTTTCAAGCCAATTGAATTCAACTGAGTTGATCATTTGACTTGCCTAGTCTAAGCCCAGCTTAAGTCTTTCGCAAATGTAAACATCCATGGGGACACGTTTGCGCACAAGAAGTGGCAGAAGACGATAGGGTCATTACTAACATAAGTATTCTCGGTAATATTACTCACTTCAGGTTCAATTAACTTTAATGCATTTTAGAATAAATCATTTCAGATTGCCAAAAGGTTGCGTCATTTTGTGCAAAAGAAGTAGAATGACGCAAGCTTTTTACATTCTGAAATGATGCGTCGAAAAAAAACTGCTTTTGAATTTTTAGAAAACGCTTAAAAGTAAATTGAACCTTAAGCGTTCAAATCAAAGTGTCTAATGACCGCAACAGGTTTGTGATCAATTAGCGCGATAGCAAGCAATAAAACAAATCGATATATCGACAGCACCCTCACTCCAAACCCGCCTGCCAATTCACTATATGAATACATTTTCTAGGTACTCACTTGACGTCCGTAGCCAGCTTTAACAGTGCGATATCGTTCTCCAGGAATCCCTCCATATAGTTTGGATGTTTGATGAATCGTTCTATCCGTAAGATCTGCGCCCCCGGGCTATCGTTATGGATATCCAAATCTCCAACCTTCACATGGGTCGGCGTTTGATTGTACACAAACTTGTCACAATGCGCCACCGTCAAAACATAATCTTCATTGATTAGCACTCCACCACAGTTCCAGCTTATTTTGTTGCCCCGGGAATACCCCAGATAGGCTCGATGCTTCGACATTATTTCAATGTCCATGTAGCTCTTTTCGGGTTCAATGAAAACATGATCTCCCACTCGATTGGTCACCATGGATTCATCTGCTTCTCGCAATCGAATGTGCCGTGCAGCGCAGACATCCGGCGAGAAGGATTCCCCAGTTTCCGTTTCAATCCATGATACGTAGGAAGACACTCTGGTATAAACTGACGGTGCTTCCGTTCCGCAAAACATCCCGAAAGAGGTGATCCCAACAACGTACGGCGTTGATCGGTGATTGGACATGAGCTTAATCTGTAGTGGACCACCGGAATCGCCCAGACAAGTGTCCATTTTGCTATCATAAGCACACATTTGAGCTTCGACTATTCCTGAACGAAGTTTTCGAATACTTGAATTGTGGTAATTTTTACACACTTCGTTCGATACGGGGGAGAGTTGTACTTTGAGTAGAATTGGCGTTTTATCACCGGCGTAAGAAGTTTGGCCGAATCCGACGGCTTCAAGACGTGGAAAGTCCACTTCATTTTGGTTCCACAGGCAGGCAGGTGTTACTGCGTCGTTGATGGTGACCGCCCGTTCCAGAGTGATGATGGCAATGTCATTGTAATAGGATGAAAATTTATGCTCGGGGTGTCGCTTAAAGGAAGCAATTTTGTATTGTTGAGCGAATTCGTTGTTCGGATCGTTGATGGTGGTATTGATAAGGATGACACCTAATCTAACGACATCCGGCGGAACACCATCCCGGCTGCCACAGTGAGCACCGGTCAGTACGTGACGTGCTGTTATTAGCGATCCGCCACAGCTGAAATCAACAGCTTCGTCCGATCCCGTCCAACCGACCGCTGCCATGTGAGCAAATTCACCCAAACGCACAGGAACTCCGTAGATCGGATAGATTAAGTTATAGTCGCCATATTTGTGGTACCGGAGATGGCAATCTGAGAAAAAAAAAAAAAACAAAACAAAACATTAAACCGACACTTGCACAAGTCGTAATAATACCATGTTGATTAAATATTGCGTACCTTTCAACCCTTGGCGCACAGTTGGCAGCAGCGCCTTGTTCACGTCGGTGGGAAACACGTTCTCTGCCGGCTGCAATCGACCAAGCGCGGGATCGATCGCCAAGCCACAAATTATCAACGCGATAATGGAGCTACCACAATTGTGCACTTTACACGAGCGCATCGTAAGTTAAACTGTTTGTCGGACGTTCTCCTACGGATACATTTCTACCAATTCTAGTAGTCTCACATGTGATAGCGAAAGAACAACACACACTGAGAACCAGTTTGGCTGGAATCTGACTCATCTTCAGCCAATCACTGCGTTTCTCGACGACACTCCAGGGCAAGGCAAGGGGTTATAATTCGCCTATTTCCGTGAGAAGTTTCAATTAAGTAAAACTTATCTTGGTTCATCTACCTGTCAGACTTTGGAGCAGTGCTTCTCTCTCTCTTTATAAAACAAAACCACCCTGATACATCATTCAAGCGTTAGTACACGCTTTGTTTACAGAGGATTAGATCACAGAATTCACAGAGGTAACCAATCTTCATCCTACATAAAACAGGTAGTTCTACATACAAATATTTCTTTAACACCACTCTTTGACACTAATACTTGCACTGTTGACCAAGCAGCAGAGGTGCGTGGATCTTAAAGTTCGTTGAGTGTTCCTCGCTCGTCATAGTCTACACTTTGCATTCGTACCATCAACAGTACTCTCAAAATGGAACTACGTCGAAGTATTTTTTTCGTTTGGATTTCCCTTATGATCCGGTTTGGTGGGTATTCATTTATACTTTGAAAAAGGTTTGTCTGAGTATCTTAATTGCTTATTTAGGAAAGTCCCAAAGTTTCGAGCCACATGAAACGTCCCACGTGGCTTTGATTGGATGGACTCAACCCGGCGGTGCAATAAAGTTCGACTGTGCGGGCTCGTACCTCGGGCGAAATGTCATTATGACCGGAGCACGTTGTCTGGAACGGGATGGCGCTCGCACTGACATCGTTCGACTCGGTCAGGCGATGGATGCGCCAATGGACTTTCACGTTCACAATGTAACGGTCCATTATCGGTATCAGGCCGAATATTATTACCATAACATGGCCATCATCTTTCTGAAAGAAGATCCTCAAACCGTGTCCGCTAGGTTTAAGCCGGCTTGTATATATTCGCGACCACCACCGATACCGGAAGGCAAGGTGCATTTGATCGGCAGGGACTCAGATGGATCATACCAGAAGACACAACTCGATTTGGTTGATTCGGACAAGTGCCACGAATATTACAGTCCAACTAAGAAGCTGAAGTACGGTGCGCTGTTGGTCTGTTGCATGTGTGCTCGGAATCCCTCGGTCAGCAAATGCGCAGTAAGTAATTGAAAATGGTTTTGTCAATTGAGGTACTAACTGATCGTCCCTTAGACCGAGCTTGGCTCTCAGATGCAGGTCATCCTGGAGAAGAACGGAAAGCGGGTTCCCTTTTTGGTTGGTCAGAAAACTATCGGTCGATCGTGTGGGTCGAAAGTTCCCGGAATCTACACCCGACTAAGTTCCGATGGGCATCTTCCGTGGATTTCAACGATCGCCAGAATGGATTTCTACAACCACGATGGTGAGCTTGTTGTTGTTTTGCTGAAGGGGATAATTCAAATATGACGTCCACTAATTTTTTTTTTCTCTTTTGTGTCACGCATTTTGCCGTATTTATTACACGTACTGCCAAAAATTAGTGGACGTCCTATTTAAATCGCCCATCGGTTAATTTATGCTTAATCGACTTGATCTTTGTTTTTCAGCATGCATCGACAGATATTGAAAACAACCACTCGGCTGTGGAAAGATCAACTTATGTTTATACTTGAAGTCGAACTAACTTATATTTTATTTGAAAATTGTACCAATAAAAGTTAACCCTATAAGATTATAGTTCAAACACTCACTGTGCCCTTCAATATCCAGGAGCGTCGCGGTCCATTGCAGGGTTGCCACCCAGCGCAAAATGCGGGAGAAACTCGAGAATCTCATTGTTAAATCGATAATCCAGATATTTTTTGTGCATGAATTTTCACCTGATGTATTTTTTACACCGTTTCGTTGAACTATAGTGTAGTATTCCCCCCACTAATCCGACACTCGATAATCCGGATTTCACTCGGGATTTCATTACTCCGAAAAGTATAAACACGCATTTTAATACATTATGCATTCGATTTTATGCTGGAGATCGAAGTGTGCCCTGCTTCTAAACGGACGCGGAAAAAAATCTGCTGTCAAAATTCTCGTCTATTATTTGTTCGTCGCGGTTTTCCAAGTTTTATCAGAAGAAGTTTTGCAAATCTATAAGTTCTTTCTAAGTGCGTTTAAGAATGGTATTCTGCTCAGTGATTCAGTTTTCCGTTGTTCTTGATTCCATTGGGAGCGGAAAGGTCCCCCCAAATTGGCGCGTTAACCGCGGTAGCGAAATTCGCGTGGGTACCCACACTGGAGCGGCAGTTTTTTTCGCAGCGTCATAGCGATCGTGAGCAATGGATTCGTCGTCGAATGAAGAAGAGACGCTTTGGCTAGTTTCTTTACCAGCAGAGGAAAATGCGTTGAAGTATTTTGGCAATTTCCTTCATTTTAGTGATATTTGTTTACAGTTTTGTTTGATATTACAAATTTCTCATCAGTGGTGATCACGGAAGTTCATGGAATTTTAAAGAAAGTTGGTCAATCTTTAGAAAAAAAATTCAAAACCTTACTTCCCCTGGAATGCATATCATCAGAAAAATTAGCAGATCTTAAGGAAATTTCATATCAGGAAAGTTCGCATAACTTCAGAGAAATTTGCTAAACTTCAAAAAAAAAGTTTGTGTATCACCAGATAAATTTGCAGAACTTCAGGAAAATTCTTAGATCATCAAAAACTTAGTAGAATTTCAAAGAAGTTCACAAAACTTCAGAAATGTTGATAGATCATCAGATAAATTTGCAAAACATCAGGGAAGCTCACAGAACTTCAGGAAATCTTCCGAGGAATTTTCGAAAGTTCAAGGAAGTTCATAGAATATCAAGTAATTTCGTAGACCTTTAGGGAAATGTGAAGAACTTCATACCTGTTGCGTGTTTTTTTTTCTTGATTTGTTTTCCGTGCTGAGCATCAATGCTACCGACGCTGGGGAGACAGCTCCCACACCTGGACCCTACCTATCGACCCATCAACTCATGAACCGGGTACCAAGGGCTTTACTTCCCTTCCGAAGGAAGGCGTGATCAGAAATGTTATGCCTCAGAACATCCCGGCGGCGCCGACTGGGATTGAACCCAGGCCTGCTGGGGTGAGAGGCAAACCTGTTGCGTGTTGAGCTGTTGAATATTTCCAGAAGAATGACCATACTGAAGTCTTGGGTATTTCTGAGCATGCTGGTATCTATTAAGATTTTTTCGAAGATTTTCTTTGAACTCTCGGACAGTTTATTGAAATCTGCCTTTGAATTCGCTCTTAGTATTCTCCCGATATTTCAGATGAATTATAACAGGATTTTTTTTTTAGTTCTGCTAAATGCTTCTCCGGAACTCACCTTTGAATTCATTTGTCATACTCCTAAAAAAATCAATTGAATTATTCTCAGAACTGAATTTATTTCTAAAATCGCTTTGGATCTCCATCTCTTGGAATTCAACTATAAACTTACAGTTTCTAAATTCTCCTCAGTGTTGGGAAAATATCAAAAAATCAAATCTCACCAACGCCCAAGATCACGCTTGATTTTCGTAGACAAAAATCAACAAGCGAACAACTGCGGTTGATTTTGCAAGCTGTGATATCGTAGCTCGGAATATCAAGCTAACAAAACTCACCAACAGCAAATCTCACCAAACTGTGGTGGGATTGAGTTTAATGTTTATTGCTTTACATCCGAATGCAACCGAAACTTCCATAGGTAACGGCTTGCAGCAGTCTCTTCGTGTCTGCCATCGGTGAAGATTAAAAAGAGATAGCAAACTATGTGTAGTAGGCCTAGATGTAGTAGGCCTTGCCTGACTGTCATAAGTTAGAGATTGATTCTTTATCCGACCACCAACCAAGATAGACGTAATAAATAGTAGCTCTTAACAAAAGCTTGTTTTACTTGTTGGCCTTGGTTACGGATATAACAATTGGCGACGAGGAAAATTTTGGAAGCACCTCGAACCTCGAAGCAAGAAACCTCAAGCAAGAAAATATCTGACGAGGATCTTCGGAACGCCATCCTGCAGCTAACGAATCTCATCATGAGGCAGCAGATTGAAAACCTGGAAAATCGGGGAAATCCGACTGCTGGCAGTGAGAAGATTATTGAGTCCTTGGCAAGCGGGATCCAGGATTTCCAGTACGATCCGGACGGAGGAGTTTTCTTCGATGGCTGGTATGCGAGGTACGAGGATGTCTTTACAAAGGACGGCCAATCCCTGGATGACGCCGCTCGTGTGAGATTGCTTCTTCGCAAGTTAAGCACGCCTCTGTACGAGAAGTACGTCAACACCATTCTTCCCAAGCATCTCCGGGACTTCACCCTGGACGAAACCGTCACGAAACTGAAGAAACTGTTCGGTCGACAGAAGTCGGTTTTTCATTCCCGTTACCAGTGCCTCCAGTATGCAAAAAGTGACGCGGATGACTTCACATCGTATGCTGCCATGGTGAACAATGGATCGAGTTCGAAACATTTCGGGCCGCTTAGAGAAAGCATCTACCATGACGAAATAGTAGTATCCATGGATCGGACCAGCAAAATCGATATGGACACGTTGCCATGGCTTGTCCGGGAGAGGCCATGACTCCAAGGTTGCTTTTGTCGGGGACTTCGCTGCTTCAGCACATGCAGTGCACTGACGGACAAATTGCTCCACATCGTCGTCAACGTTAGGCCAGTAGATGTAACTTCGCGCCAGAGACTTCATTCGGTCCATTCCTGGGTGTCCACAATGCAGTTGACGAACGATCCGCTTTCGAAACTTTGATGGGACGACGATTCGATCGCCGAACATAACGCAGTTGTCGACAACTTGAAGTCCATCTCGTCTGGCGAAGAACTTCTTGACATCAGGATCAGCAACTTGCTTCGCATTTGCTGGCCAACCTTCGTTAAGGAAATTCACCACTTGCTGAAGAACTGGATCCTTTCGCGTCTCAGCCACAATCATCTGGTGCGTGACTGGAAGGTTGCTGATGGTGTCGTCGAGAATTGCTTTTGCTTCAGATTCGACGCACACGGCGGCTATGACGTAATCCTCATCTGGTCTATGCTGCGATGACATTAGCCGGGATAGAAAATCTGCATGGCCAAAATTCGTCGATGAAACGTGTTGGCCCAGCGCTGCAAACGGTTTGCTGTGTAAACAGGAATACCTTTCTTTGAGCCGAAAAACTTGAGTAGCGGTTGATTATCGGTTTGCAGGAGGAAGTGTCGTCCATACAGCATTTTGTGGAAACGGGTGACAGCGAATATCAGGGCCAATGCTTCCTTCTCCACTTGTCCGTAGTTCATCTCTGCTGGGGTCAGTGAGCGCGAGGCGTGCGTAATTGCCTTCACTTCACCGGTCGGGAATCGATGCATGATGACAGCGCCAAGGCCGTACTTCGATGCATCTGCTGCAACAACGATTTCCTTGGACGGGTTGTAGTGTGTAAGCAGCAGGTCGGAAAGTAGAATGGCTCGAAAGACTTCTGGCAATCCTTGGTCCAGTTCCAGCGTGCATCTTTCTTGAGGAGGCTGTCCAGAGGAGCCCTGAGTTGCTTCATCTGCTTAACGAATCTACCATAGTAGTTAATAGCACCGAGGTAGGAACGGAGTTGCTGGACATCCTTCGAAGACTGCATCTTGGAAATGGCTTCTGTTTTTGAAGGGTCAGGCCGAATACCGTCCTTATCCACGATGTGTCCGAGAAACTTGATCTGGGAGGGTGCGAAACGACATTTTTCGAGGCGTAGGTGAAAGCCATACTCACGGATCTGCTTGAGAACAGCGTAAAGACTGTGATCGTGTTCCTGATTGGTGCGACCAGCGATGAGGATGTCGTCCAAATACGGCTTGACTTCAGGGATGCCGGCCACCATGCTGTCGATGATGCGCTGGAAAGCGCCGGGTGCCTACTTGACTCGGGGGGGTAGTCGGTTATACTGGAACAGTCAACGATGCGTGTTGACCGTGAGTAGCTTTCGCGATTCCTCCTCGACCTCGACCTGTAGGTAAGCGTCAGACAAATCGAGATGAGTGTAGTAAAGTGCTCCAGCTAGTTCCGCAAAGAGGTCGTCAGGATGAGGCAGTGGATGATGGTCACATTCTAGCGCGTTGTTCAGCCCCGTCGAATAATCGCCACATACACGGACTGATACATTGTCCGACTTGCGTACGACGACTATTGGTGCTGCCCAATCCGAGAATTGAACTGGAGAAATTATACCGTTTTGCTGGAGCCTCTCAAGTTCTGCGTCCACCTTGGCGAGTGCAGCGTACGCTACTGGTCGTTTCGGGCAATATGCAGGACGTGCGTCAGGCTTGAGGTACAACTTCACTTGCGCTTTTGTGCATCTACCCAGCGTGCTTCGAAAAACTTCCGGAAACTGTTGCTTGAGTTGATTGGTGAACTGATCAGAACGTTGGTGTACGACGTTGACCAAGCTGCTTATCGGCACAGACCACAAATCGAACAGATCCATAGTCTCGATTCCTAGAACGTTGAGTTTAGCGCTGCTTGAGATGAAAATGCGACCAGTCTTGGTAACATTCTTGATGGTGATCTCGGTCTGGAACTCAGCGAGAAGGTTGAGATTGCCACCAGAAGCTGTAACTGCAGATTCTTCCGTCGGTTGAGTGTCTGTCCGATGCTGATCCATGTTTCTTCTGAGTTTATGGTGATGTCGGACGCCGAGTCGTGTTGAAGTTTGACTGCTACACCATTGAGCTCGACCGGGATGAACTTCCGCTTGGTTCCGATGTTGCGAACCGTGTAGATGCTTTTTGTCTTCACGTTCTCTTTGGATTTGGCCTGTTTGAACGATTTCGACGGCGCATTCTTGTTGCTGTTGCAATAACCTTCCTTGTGTCCTTGTTGCTTGCATCTGGAACAGGTGTGCGAAGTGAACGGACACTCACGAACATAGTGCTGGTCACCACACTTCTAACATGGCGTTTTCGGCACTTTTTGGTTCTTTTTTTGAGGCAGGATTATTCATTACCACAACTGCAACCCTGAATATGCTGCGTGAAACGTTTTCTCGTTACGGCAACCCAGACACATTGGTCTCAGACAACGGAACGCAATTCACCAGCGAGCAGTTTCAACAATATTGCCGTGCAAATGGTATCACCCATCTCCGCACTGCTCCCTACCACCCGCAGTCCAACGGCCAAGCGGAGCGATTCGTTGATTCACTCAAGCGTGGCCTCAAGAAGCTAGCCAAGGGGGAAGGATCACCCACACTGGAGCACCTGCAGACATTCCTTTCGGTGTATCGTTCAATCCCAAACCGAAACACACCGCAGTCGACGTCTCCAGCAGAAGCATTCCTCGGAAGACCAGTGCGCACCACTTTGGACCTACTGAAGAAACCTGTTCCTGTAACTGAAGCTGTCAAGAACCACAAACAAAACGAACAGTTCAATTGGCGGCATGGAGCAGTCAAGCGCGAGTTTGAAGAAGATGACCTGGTCTACGTTGAACAGCATCTCAGAAACGCCAAGTCCTGGATTCCTGGTCGAGTCATCGAACGGAAAGGTTCCGTCAACTATATCGTTGCACTGGACATGAACGGGAGACCGAAGCTGGTGAGGTCGCATGTAAACCAAATGCGTCCTCGTCACACTTCTGATGATCCAGAGCAAGCGACGCAGCAACTACCATGGGAAATCCTGCTTGATGAAATTCAAGATGAAGCTGTACCGTTGGATCCAAAAGTGCCATTCAATCACGATGTCCCTATTCCTGTTGGTTCCGTATCACTCGAAGCTGATGGTCAAGTGGCAAGTACGTCTGGCGAAAATCCTTTTTTGACAATCGATCATGAACCTGCTGCTCAAGATGGAGAACTTCAGTCCGCACAAAAGTCCGTGTCATCTGAAGCAGTTGGAGACTTTATTCGACGTTCTGTACGAGAATCAAGAATTCCAAGATGGCTCTCTTCCTATGACATTTTCTAAAAGGAGGAGATGTAGTAGGCCTAGATGTAGTAGTCCTTGCCTGACTGTCATAAGTTAGAGATTGATTCTTTATCCGACCACCAACCAAGATAGACGTAATAAATAGTAGCTCTTAACAACAGCTTGTTTTACTTGTTGGCCTTGGTTACGGATATAACATTATGCTTTCTCTTTCTAAGAAAACGATATGCAATGGATTCATTTTTGTGTCGAGTCAACTCTCAGCTTAATTTTTGTACGTTGTGAATAGTCTCGCAATATCAAAGGAGCTTGTAAAATCAATATCAAGCATGATATTTTGTTCCAATATCACGCGTGATATTGCGAGCGCATGAGAGCGGAAAAATATCAATTGATTTCTGATTTTGCCAACACTGATTCTCCTTATAAATAAATGTAGTTCTACTAATATGTTCCTTAGATTTAGCATAGCATATGCAATATTACAAATCGTGGTTGGTCAACTATCCTCACAAATACCTTAGATTTCTCCTCCGGAAGCTTCTTAGATGGGCAGTGAGCAGTTTACCGATCTCTGTAAAAGTTGAGCGAATTTGGAGTATTTCGGGGAATTCAGGGAGTTTTGTAGATGGGAATATTGTAGAAATTCCAATGATGGTCTGAGATCTCGGCCAAATTTCAGGGAGCAGTAAATTAAATTTACAAGTTCAGACATCTTTGGAAAAAAAAATAGTTTCGAATCAATTCTATTCAGGTTTCGGTTTTTGCCATTTTTTATCACCTGAAAATAACTTTCGGTACAACAACACCAGCACACAAGAATAAAAACCGCGCTTCTTCGGCGGCAAAAACGCTGCAGAGAGCGAATCAAAAGCGAACGCAAAAGAAACGCTGCAAAAACGCGCGAACAGCGTCGACTTGCCGCGTTGGTTTGAGCGCTTCCGCTATGCATTTAAAACGCGGCGAATTTTCCGCCGCGAATTATTCGCTGCCGCCGCGGTAAAAACGCGCCAGTCTATGGGGGGGGGGACCCTAATATGTGTGTGCTGTACGCACCGGCAAATAATGTTCTGTGTATTATATGGTGTAAAAGTGGTATATCAGAAATAACTTGACAAGATCCATTTGAGCAGTACTTAGATGCTACAATCGTTTAGTTATCGGTTTTGTATTGTTTCTATACCAATAGCTTGAAAATCAACTGGACAGGATTACTGGAAACATTGGATTCATGTGGTAAGGCCATTCATATTATATATATTTTATTACATGACATAACCATGACCATAAAAACCACCGGGAAGGGGAACTTCTCCCCTTCCTTATGATGCTGTTGGTTTGCGTGGGCATACTTTGGGTGACGAGTAAAGGGCCCACACAAGTTTGTTTACAAAAATTGATGTGCCGTTTTCAAATGTTACTTGAGAGTCATCTCAATAAACATTTCGAAAGGTCCTATCTGCAATGACCAGTTCTCTTGATCGACATTCTCTAGCTAGCTAGCACCCCACTTAATATCCTCTTGTCAACTATGTCACATAAATGTTAATTTCAAGGGAAAGGTCACTCCACACACCTATCTTGGGCTAAACATTGTCTCAGTGTGCCTTAGGTGTACCAATTGTGCCGGCAGTGCCGGTCATAGAGCAAGCTGCGATTTTTTGCAAAATACGAATATTATGGTATATTTGGCAACCCGATGTTTCTGACCGCTTGAATGTTTTGGTTTGCAATCGCAAGGATAACATCGGTCTAGCGTCAACCAAGGAGGAATACTGGTGAGATGGACCGTGAGTGGTCTCCACCGTCCAACAGGACACAACAAAGGAAAACAGCCGGAGAGCAACCGGAAGTGTCCCCGCATCGAAAACCGTTGGATGCGATAATTGAACGGCCCCGAAAATGTCGAATATCGTGCTCGATAAGGATTCCTTCTATCGACGAATAAAACCTCTCTACGCCAACTGAAAGGAACCAGAGTTTTCCCATGATGATTCGCTGCAGAAGGTGGATTGCATTCTGTCGGTGATCGACGTAGACGAGGAATACATCTACAGTAAATCCACCTCGCGCAGACCTGGCTGCTGGGATACGAGCTGACCGATGCGATTACGGTGCTGTGTGAAAAGTCCATCTTTTTCCTGCCAGCAAGAAGAAGATCGACTTCTTGAAGCAGATCGAGAAGGACGGTGAGGAGGGCATTCCGTCGGTGAAGCTGTTGGTTCTGGATAAGAACGACAAAGACAAGGCCAATTTTGAAAAGCTGCTGGAGGCGATCAAGGGATCCAAGGATGGCAAAACGTAAAAATTATTATTTTTTTCGCTACTTAGCCTGGAAAAATTCATACGTTTCGGTATCCAAAAAGTTATTAAGAATGATCATGCTTAGGGAGTGAAAACATTAAACGTGCGTTCCACAATCTGACATTCTAGATTTCGAGAAAACAGGATCTAGTGTCTCAGTGATCAAATGTGTCAAGACACCATTCCTCTGTATGGCTTTAGTTAAAAGTTATAGAAGATTTTGTTCTGGATTTGTGAACCTTCGTCACTGTCTTCAATTAAAAAGAAAAATCAACGACACATGAAATGAGTGAACCGCAGTAAGCATTCCAAGTGATCGTGATTCCCGCTGAATGAAATATATAATTATCGTTACATAGTCAGAGATGCAGCGGATGTGGTATTCGGATAATTCATCTAACTGTGGGTATTTTTTACTCCCAGGCTGCAGTTTATCGTTTTATTAGTCATCGAATTGTTTTTCTCAAACTCTGCACTGGTGCTATTAAGCTAAGATGTTAAAGCATGTCTCAATAGCGAGCGTAACATTCTGGAATAGGAAGCAATAATAGAGGTAAGATATAGATATAATCAAGAAAATCCCACTGCATTACCATTTGGATCGAGATTCAATCCCGTGACTGTTTCCAACCACTCAAAGTACGATCCATAGCGGGTGTAAATCCCAGGCGTGTTCGTGCCGCATGATTTCCCAATCGATTTATGGCCAATTAAGAAAGGTGCCTCTTTACCGGATCGTTTAGCAATAATTTGCAGGGGAGAGCTGTGAAGGTCCTTTTAAGAAATTGGGATAGGAATTATTGAACAATTTGAAACAACTGTTATCGCATTGACGTCGTACCGAGCATTGATTGATTTTGGCATTCCGAGCGCAGAAGCAACACAGCAGTACTCCGAAACGCAGTTTCCGATTAGGATTGTAATACTCGTGACATTTTTCCGATCCCACCGCCAGCAAGTCAGTCTTCTCCAGTCGATTGCCGATGGGTCCAATCATCTGCACGGGAGTGTTCGATTTGGGATGAGGCTTCAGGACACAGGCTGCTTTGATGCCACCCGAATAAGTTTGCGGATTTCGTTCCAGAACCGCAATTGCCATGTTGTGATAGTCGAACTGGGGTTTGTAGCGATAGTGAATGGTGAAATTGACGATGGCTATGTCTATGGTATTTCCAGTTGAGCTACCAAAACGGGCTACATCAGGCTGTCGTCTGTAACGTGAATATCGATTAGCTGGATTATCACAATTAAGTAATCACTAAAATTACCCATTCTTACTAGAACAATGTGCCCCAAGTACTACCGCATTGCCTCCCAAGTACGATCCCCCACATACGATTGCAACTGCTCCATTCGACTGTCGTTGACCGATTTGAACCTGAATGTAGTGTTAGATGATTAATGCGCTGTATATCAGAATATAATCAATTAGAATCCAATCCGTTGCCAGTACCACGTGAGAACCTTCGACACTTCGAATCCATTGACATGCACCTGAATATGCAGAATTTTTATTATTTTCAAACCGGTCATCATTAAGCACAGTGTGGTTGGAGAAATTACCTGTTTTTACGATCGCCAACAATACCGCCAATGCCCAAATCTTCATCGTTGACTGACGTGTGATCGATGGTGATGATGATCTATTGCAGTTGGCAGCGAAAGACGAACTGAGCGGATGATCTCTATTCTCTTGCGGTCCTCCAGCCGATCGTGGTAGTGGTGCGTTTTTTAAATATTTATAAATAGGGTAGAGCGCTACTTCGTCGTAATAGCCTAATTCCGTTCAATCGAGGAGAAAACATAATTCAAAACCTGACACGAATGCCACACAATAATGTGGTAAAGTGTCATAAGTAAATAATAATAATAATTCATAACATTTTTTTTTATTACACCCATTGTTCCCTAAAACAAAAAAGCACGACGAAGAAAATCCAATGGCGATTCAATGCATTTGACAGAAGGAATTGAAATGAAACCCGTATGACGGAATTGGAATCATAACAAAATAGAAACAATTTGTCGCTCTTTATCTAATCCAACAGGGCATGTATGGGAAAGGAAATTAATTTAGAAGTCAGCTTTAGTATAAGCATTCAATTTGTTGTACAAATCCGTTCGAAAAAGAGAGGTAAAGCGCGAGATGTGCTTCGAGGGACAGAAATTAGATCAAAACCCCAATTTTGACTGCGATCATTAGCTTCTGCTCTTCTTTGTGCCGAGGTAAGAAGCCGGAGCCATCCCCCAATGAACAATGGACCTCATTGATATGGGCGTATCGGATCCGATACATTAATGAATACACTCACCGTCCGATGGTTCAGGTTTGGAATGGATAAATAGTTGACAGGTGACTAATGATTGGATTGCTTCTGGGGAAAACGGTTCGAACGAAAACGAGAATATGGGTGAATAGCTAAACCTGTCTATATTACGTGAGCGCCAAAGCATAGTCTGACCATGTTTTTCTAGTAAACTCTAGAAAATACAGCTATACAATCGATGATAACGATGTTGAATGATAATACATTTACTCCAAATTACTAATACAACTCCAATGAACTAATGATAATGATCCAATGATTGTGTCCAAGATGGAAAAATCTAGTTTTTTAATTACCGATCCTGTAGGGGATGTGCCCGGCCGGTGTAGTGGTTAGCATCGATGCTTCTCCCGCTACAGGTCATGAGTTTAAATCTAATCCTTGGACTATTGATTGATTGATTGATTTATCTTTATTATACCCCGTTCACATTACAGCGTATATCACGTGATATACGGTGTCTTGCAATGAGCACTCATACATCTAGTTTTCACTGGAAATCCTATGTATGAGTGTTCATTGCAAGACAGCCTATATTACGTGATATAGGCTGTAATGTGAACGGGGTATTAGGGAGGCTTTCAACCTGGGGCTGGTTCGCCTCCATTCCTTGGACTAGTCACGAACGACCTAAAGACTGGAACGTGCAAAAATTAATTGACAAAAAATCGTTTCTTTCAGTTAAAATTCATATCACAAAAATCTTCTTATTTTTCTTTTGGTAGTTCAATTCATATACTTAAAGGAAAAAATGTTCGTTTATTCTTTTGGTTTGTCAAATCCGAACTGCCGTGCCTTCCGCTTAACCCCTTCCATTAAATTTTGCCCAGTGGTCTCATAGACCTTATTCACCGCCGAACGCCAGTTAGATTTAAACTGCTGCTCGTTTTCCATGGATTTATTAGTTTTTTTGTGATTCCGTTTGACCAAGTCCCAATACCGTTCGATTGGGTGAAGTTCTGGGCTGTTGGGAGGGTTGTGGTCTTTGGGTACCACAACCACGTTGTTCGCATCGATTGCCTTTTTCCCAGCTGCCACTCGTCAAGTCCGGCCAGAACAGCACGGGTCTATTATGTTGCTTTAGGAATGGTATCAGCCGCTTTTCCAGGCACTCCTGCACGTAGATCTCTTGATTGATGGTTCCCGTAGTAATGAAAATACCGCTTTCTAGACCACACGTGCATATGGCCTGCGGATGGATGTTTTTGAAAATTTCAGCCACCTTCCCTTTTCCTGATGCGGTATAAAACTCCTGTCCCGGAAGCTGCTTGAAATCCGCCTTCACATAAGTTCCGTCGTCCATGACGACACAGTCGAACTTTGTGAGCAGATTCGTATACAGCTTTCGGGACCGCTGCTTTGCCGACGTGTTTTGTTTGTAAGCTCGGTTAGCCACCTTAACCTTCTTAAACGTCGACAACCCGGCTCGTTTCTTGGCCCGCTGCACAGTAGTTTGGGGGAAATTGAGCTTGCCAGCGACGTTCCGGATGGAGACGTTAGGATTCCACTTATATTTCACCGCCACCTTCTTCGTCTTCGCTGCCACGTCCGGATTACGATTGCCGTCGCTTCCATGCTTCCTGGCGGTCGACACAGGCCCCCCAAACACTTTTAAAACGTTTGTCACGCTCAATTTGGCCACATCCAGCAATTTTGCCAACTTGGCGTGTGGAAACGTCGGATTCTCTTGCTGCGTGAGCAAAATTTTGACACGCTGCTCCTCTTGCTTGGACGTCATTTTGAAAACTGGAGAGCAAACGGTGAAAACTCATCATAGCAACCATTGTTTATACACTCAACCTCCAAATGCAGCATTTCAGGTTTTTACCCTTCTTACAAAGAAGGGTATAGATATCACTTGAAAAACCGACTATCGATCCGAGGCCCGGAGGGCCGAGTGTCATATACCATTCGACTCAGCTCGACGAGATCGGAACATGTCTGTGTGTGTGTATGTGTGTATGTGTGTATGTGTGTGTGTATGTAACGAAATGAATGCACTCACGTTTCTCAGCAACCGCTCAACCGATTTGGACAAACTCGGCGCCAAATGATAGGTCTTGGGGTCCCATTGAACGGTTTTGGAATCGGTGAACCGGTTCCGGAGATATGGCCGGAATAAGATCCGGTGAATATGGGCCTTCACGCTGGATTTAACGGAAAACGTATTAAAACCATCATGCGACACATCAAATTACTACAGAATTTAAAAATAAGATCAATGTAAGTCGTGTTAAGTGTTCCAGACCACATTGGACACACTTGGACATGTTCCGGGTACCCCGGGGAAGTTGCTTGAATATGAATTAAATTAAAACCCATTAAATCACATTAAAATACGATGATAAGGTGATTGGTAGCCTCACCAAATAGACTACACCCGGATATATTCCGGGTGCCCCCAGGCAGTGCCGTAGCGTCACTGGATGACACGGGCGTGGGGGGCTTGGTCACTGATAATGACAATAAAATAAATAAACTTGAATAAGTAAGAAGGGTCTGATCACACCATAGGTGGATAAATTCGGGTTTTTTAATGCATTTTTAACAGAAATACCACAGACAAACCGACATGAACCTTAAACTTAACTCTTGATCGAGAATCCATAACGACCGATTCAAATGTGCAGCGATCCCATCTGTTCGAGGGGGGCGACACATCTAAATCTCAAGTTTAGATGGTCAACAAATCTCACACTAGCGAATCAATCTTCGAACAATCTTTCATTTGTCGCATCTACTTGCATCGCTCATCAATTTTTTGCAGGAAATCTTCAGAATCGTCATCAATCTTCTTTCTATCTACTCAGCGTGCTCGCAGCTAGCCACAGCAAAACACAATCTTTTTTGCATCGTAGATAGAGTCGTCCCCCTCGCATCTGTTAAAACCATAGAATTGTTTTATCTAGATAAAAATAATTTGTCCGAAATAGATTAGACACGAACCAACTCATAAATTTTGTACGCGTGTTCGTGGCTAGGATAAATATGTTCCGCGAACACGATGGCAGTTTTGTGCTTTGATCAGAAATTTGTTTGTAATTTGTATGATCATTCATGTCGGTTTGTCGGTGGAAATACACCAATTTGAAGTTGACTTCAAAATGACTTTAAAATGTGTAAAAGTCACTATAATAAATGAAAAAAATAATCAGGCTCCAGAATTTCGGATGTTTCTTGAAAATTTCTAAATTTTACCTATTTTAACTGGTTACGGCTAAAATTCAAGTTATATTTATTTAGTTTTGGGAGGGAGAATCTCAAGAAAGATTTAATTGCTGGATTGAGAAAAAATATCAATGTATCAATAATCCACTGAATCAATTACCCAAAAAATCAACCAGACAAAAAATAAATAAATAAATAAATAAATAAATAAGTAAATAAATAACTAAATAAATAACAAAATAACTGCAAAACAAAATTACAAAATAACTGAATAACTAAATAAATAAATAAATAATTAAATAACTAAATAATTAAATAATTAAATAACAAAATAACTAAATAACTAAATAACTAAATAACTAAATAACGTAATAACTAAATAACGTAATAACTAAATAACCAAATAACTAAATAACTAAATAACATAATAACATAATAAATAACTAAATAACTAAATAACGGAATCACTAAATAACTAAATAACTAAATAACATAATAACATAATAACATAATAACATAATAACATAATAACTAAATAACTAAATAACTAAATATCTAAATAATTAAATAAATAACTAAATAACTAAATAACGGAATAATTAAATGACTAAATAACTAAATAACTAAATAACTAAATAACTTAATAACATAATAACTAAATGACTAAATAACTAAATAACTAAGTAACTTAATCACTAAAGAACTAAATAACTAAATATCTTAATAACTAAATAACTGAATTACTTAATAACTTAATAACTAAATAACTAAATAACCAAATAAATCAATAACTAAAAACTAACTAACTAAACAACTAAATAACTGAATAACTAAATAACTAAATAACTTAAAAACGTTATAACTTTATAACTAAAAACTAAATAACTAAATAACTAAATAAATAACTAAATAAATAACTAAATAACTAAATATCTAAATAACTAAATAAATAACTAAATAACTGAATAACTAAATAACTAAATAACTAAATAACTAAATAACTAAATAAATAAATAACTTAATAACCAAATAACTAAATAACAAAATAACAAAATTACAAAATAACATAATAACATAATAACTTAATAACTAAATAACTAAATAAATAAATAACTAAATAACTTAATAACTTAATAACTAAATAACTTAATAACTAAATAAATAAATAAATAAATGTATAAATAAATAAATAAATGAATGTATGAATGAATGAATGAATGGATGGATGAATGAATGAATGAATGAATGAATGAATGAATGAATGAATGAATGAATGAATGAATGAATGAATGAATGAATGAATGAATGAATGAATGAATGAATGAATGAATGAATGAATGAATGAATGAATGAATGAATGAATGAATGAATGAATGAATGAATGAATGAATGAATGAATGAATGAATGAATGAATGAATGAATGAATGAATGAATGAATGAATGAATGAATGAATGAATGAATGAATGAATGAATGAATGAATGAATGCATACATGAATAAATAAATAAATTAATAAAAGAATGAATGTAAAATAAAAAATGACCCTAATAAAAAATTACCATAAACGAACGATAACCCAAATCATTGAACTATTCCATAAATGGTTTGGATGATACCCAGAACACGTCGTTAAGCAAATTAACCATACAATTTTTATTAGGGGAATGAATGAATGAATGAATGAATAAATAAATACTGTGGTTAGTCCGTAAAACATAAACATCTGAATTCATACCTCTCACGCCAAAGTTTTGAGTTCAATTCAAGTGGATATGGCACGAATGATCCAAGAGTGTTAAAATGACTTAGTGGGGTTAACTACCCCATTCCCGGCCTATTAAGCACAACCCATACTAAGTCTTTCTTAATCGAAAGTAATTTAGCACGAAAGGGAATGATATTACTGATGGCTTCTAACTTTATTTACCTCTCCATATGTACGTAAATTTTCAAATAAAAAAATGCTATTATTTTGAACAATTTTACCTGGTGTCTCTCTTTCCGGCAGGTGCTTCCAAAAATTTAATATTTTGTAATCGTAAAATTGAACATATTTGTAGTTCTTTGACGAACGCTTCAGCTCAATTGATCGTAAGTAAACAAAGTTACATCATGTCAAAGTTGCCCATTTTGTATGAAAATCGGTGCTATTTTATCGAACACAGCTGTAGATCTAGAAATATCATCTCAGATGTTTTGTTACAAGGTAGACGTATTGTAGAGCAGTTCTACTAAACAAGTTATACGATTATCTCTAACCGGCTATTTTTCTAGTCGTATGTTTGGGTTGGATTTTTTTTTAAATAACCGGGGAAAAAACTGGGAATTGAAAGATTGGATTTGAATGAACACCCTGAACATTGCCGAAGACCGCATCCTGCTACCAAATGCAAATCACGAGAGCTTTATTCTATAAATGTTCACTAGCACCACCTAGTGACTCAATTCCGAACTATATTGTTTTTCATTTTCAAGAGATTGGTCCATAGAACAATATTGGTGAAGACATGTATAACTTTTGAGCTGGAGTTTATCGACAGTAATCAAAAATGTAACTGATCAATAAATAGATCACTGAGCGTTAATGGGTTAATATAACAATATATATTGACGAAAAAACAATAACAATCCTTAATCCCAATTGAAAGCGGTAGTTCCAAACTCCCGCCCCGTGCCGGTTTTGCAAAACTCAACAGAGGATAAAAAATCTCCATTTCTCAAGTGCCTCAAGCAGGCATTCGCATTCCGCACCGGTGGACGACGACAGTCCGGCGGTTAGTTTGCGCGCGATTTCCAAGGAAGAAGAACTTGCAGAATCAGCTGCTGCATCATCGGGATAGTCGCAACTTCGGTCGCTCGTCGTTGTTAGTCGGTTATCTATCTCGGTGTCAAGTTGTGTACATGTGCGATAAAAGACTACTTATCAGCCAGCACTTTGCGTCGTTGTAAGAGCTCAATCTAAGGCGATAATTGCCGTGCAAGCAAAGGTACAAATAATTGCCCGTTTGAGTGGGCTTGCAGTAGAATTGTCTTAGCTGTCGAATCAATTAGCAGTTCAAATGGGCCGGTTGCAGGTCAGCTGCAGCTATCATATTTTACTGTGTGTCGTTGTAGTGCTTTCTTTTGGTGTTAACGGACAAATTCCGAATCATTTCCGACTACCGGTCAATAGCGATCCTATTGGATACGATGTCGAGTTGACGGTGGATTTGGAGCGGTCCAAGTTTTTTGGAACAGTGCAAATCTCGCTGAAGGCAAACAATGACTCCAATTATGTGACATTGAACGCAAAGGAACTGGATGTTTCAAATGTGGCCCTTACGGAAGATAGTGGAAGAAAATTGCAACTGATCACGTATGTAATGCAGAATGATTCGGAAATGGTGCGGTTCAATTTTGATTCGAACCTGCGATCGGCTCACACCTACCAGCTGTCAATTGACTTTGCTGGAAACATTACGGACGATCTGAAAGGACTGTACAAGAGCTCGTACTATCGTGGAACAGAGGAAAGGTTGTATGCACTAATGGAACGATAATCATCTATGAGGTAACCGGTTGATTGGTTTATTTTTAGGTTCGTCGCAACCACGTTCAATGCAGCCGCCTATGCACGTAAGATTTTCCCCTGCTACGATGAGCCGCAGTTGAAGGCAAAATTCAAGTTGCGAATATTTCACAAACCGGAATTTCGAGCGCTGTCCAACATGCCCGTTGAGAATCGCAGCGAATCGTAAGCTCAATGAATGCTCATTAAGCAATGAACCAAGTGCGACACCTCCATTCAAGCCTTCTTCCACTTCTATTCACAGCGTCAATTCCGATAACATGACCGTAACCGAATTCATTCAATCACCCCCAATGTCGAGCTATCTGCTAGCGTTCGTAGTATCGGACTTTGGAGAGATACGGATGGACTCCAAATTTGCGGCTCACGCTCAGTTGAGTGTTATCAATTCGACACGCTATGCTTTGAACTTCACAAGAGACGCTATCGAGTATTTAGGAATATTTTTTAAACGACCCTACCAGTTGAACAAACTGGATATCGTTGCAATTGATGATTTTCTAATGGGAGCGATGGAAAATTGGGGCCTCATCACGTACAAGTAAGTAGCGAGGCTGGTTTCCGAAAACTTACGTTGATCTAACGAAAATTCTAGGACTTCAAGGATCGTCTATCGTGAAGGTTTGGACAAAACGGAAAAGCTTCAGTCCGTTACGAAAATTGTTTTCCACGAATTGATTCATCAATGGTTCGGAAACGAGGCAACCAGCGCTTGGTGGTCGTATATTTGGCTTAACGAAGGTTTCACCGTTTTCCTAGAAAGTTACGTCCTGGATAAGATGCATCCCGAATGGAGAACGATGGATCAGTTTTTGGTCAACGAAATGCATTCGGTGATGGAGCGGGATGTTCTGCCAGATACTCGGGCTATGACAAAACCGATCGACACCCCCGACCAAATCGCCGGGATTTATGACTTTGCAGTCTATCCAAAAGCGGCTTCCATAATCCGGATGTGGCAATCAATCGTCGGAATGACAGTGTTTGATGATTTTCTATTAGCATATCTTGCCGATCGTAGCTATAAAGCTGCCACGGAGGAAGACATGATCCGGGTGTTGCAGAATACTGTCGATAAACATGGTTTGAAATTGCCTCCGATGAAGCAGATCGTGCAGAGTTGGACGAGTAATCCGTCCTTTCCTGTTGTTTCAGTCAACAGACTTGCTAACGGTTCAGCAGAAGTTACTGCACGTCCCTCGAAGACATTCTACATACCATTGAATTGGATTTCCAAATCAAAAAAATCGGGCAGTGAGTGGATCACCCATCTGGAAGGAGAGAAGTTGATTAATTTGAAGGATGTTGGCTTAGTTGAATGGGTTATTTTCAACCCGAATCAGTTCGGCTATTACCGTGTAAACTACGATCAGAAAAGTTGGAACTTGTTCATCGAGGCATTGAAGCAAGATCATCACCAAATTCCCACACTTAGTCGTGCTCAATTGATCGATGACGCTTTGGCCTTAGCGAAAGACAATCAACTAAATATTGAGATTCTCCTAGGAATCCTAGACTACATTCCGACGGAGCTGGATCTTATTCCACTGAAAGCAGCTTTCAAGGCCTTGCGTTATCTAAATCGGATGCTGCAGGGGAATGAATTCTTCTCGACATATCAGCAATATCAGAGTAATTTACTGGCACATGTGTACGATCAAATGTTGCGAAATTCAAACGATGATCACGTGTCACGCTTGTACCGGGTGGAAGTACGAGAGGTGGCGTGTGAACTTGGCGTCCATAGATGCTTGCAAGATGCGCTCGCGTTGTTTGAAGGTTTCGTAACAATCGATCCGGACCTTCGTGGGTCGGTGATGTGTGGCGCGCTCAAGGGAAGTGAACACTACGATGTGTGGGCTCTGATGGTACGACGAATGGTTTATATTGTGAGGAATTTCGAACAGAAAAGGATCAATGTGGAAGAATTCGAGGACATCCTGTATGGGTTTGGATGTGTCGTTAGTGAAGATCGCCTGGATAATTATATGATGCTATCGTTGTCCTACACGGAGACGTTGGAGGAAGCGGATCGAATTAAAATTTTCAACTACATTGCAAATAGTGGAGTCAATGGAACCAATATGGCTTTATATAGGCTGAACAATGATGTGAAAACGCTGAAGAGAAGGTACGCAGTATTTTTTGTAATAAGTTCCAGATGCTTGAACCCGTTGTGGTTATTTTCAGATATGGATCCGTGACGGAGATTATTAGCAACCTGAGATACGCCATTAACACTCCCGAGCAGCTTCAGGAGTATAGCAATTTTCTGCGAAACAACACGGATGTAGATTTGGGTCTTCTTTTGAACGACGTATATAACGATGCTCAGAAAAATGTTCTATGGGCTAAAGAGAAGTCACCCGTAATTTCCAAGTGGATTTCAGCGCACAGCTTGGCATTTTCCTTGCACATTTCAAGGATACTCATTGTTGTAGGATTTGTAGTTGCCGTTTACCCTTTCCAATAAAGTTATTATTATTTTCTTGTCATTTTAGAAGGTACACGCTATTTTAAAACTACCCAAATTTGGGTAGAATCGACCCAGATCGGTCAAAACTGAACCTACCCAAAATATGTAAACTATGTTGAGAGTGACAAGTTGACAAATGGACTACATCGACATGAATCCGATCGATTTTTTTTATTTGTCAACTTGTCACTTCTAACATAGTTTACCCATTTTTGGGTAGGTTCAGTTTTAACCGATCTGGGTCGATTCTACCCAACTTGGGGTAGTTTTGAAATAACGTGTAGATAATATCTGTCCGTATGCCTAAAATAATTGGGAATTTCTTAACATGGCCGTGAGGATGCAAAGAGAAAGTCGAGGAAGAGAATCTGTCAATGTAGATGAAAACCTAGATATTTTTTTTTTATTATTACCCTGGAAAACCGGGAAAAACCTGGAATTTTTTTAAAAGAAATTCTCTTGTCACCCTGCTTTTGTAGCAATGTACTATTCGGGATAATATGTCATTCGTGCTTATTGAATTCAGAGTAATGGTATTCGAGATAATGTCCTAAAGTCATTATTTTTATTAATAACATGACCTTGCAGAAAACCACTAGTAATGTATTGGTTGGCTACTCACTGATTTATAAAAAAAAAATGCTATCATGACCCACCTTTGATGCAATTAGTTTGCATTTTAAAAGCCTTCCCAAGTAGTCAGTCCCGAGATTGATGGATAAAACAAAAAGCAGGGGGTATATGTGGCTTCTCAGCACCAAAATGACCACCGGGTGCGGTGTTATAGTGAATCCATCGATGCGGAAAACGCCACCCCCATCTCATTAGCATAGGATGTTGATTGAAGTGTATGGTTAATGGATTTTTTTTTTCTCAATTAAAACCATCGATCGATATTCGCCACATTAACCGCGGCATTTTCCATTAGCTTTATTCTCAGACTAATTACAACTGCACTACTTACTGGTATGTGTACTGTTGCAGCGTTTGTCGAATCAAAGGCAAGTTGCGCTCCTGCCAAAGGATTTGCTCGTTCAGTTGGTGGTTGATGATGGTCTCAAAGTCGGCTGGAATTTGCAGCACTTTCATCATCTGGCGCAACCGACCGGCATTCAGTTGGTCAACGACACGATTTGCAAGATTGTACAACAACTTCTCCATGCTGCGTTTGCTGCCAAAGCTGAAAGTGACAGAAATTGCTGTGTAGATAAAACTTGAGTTTAACCTTGTAACAACTACTCACATGTCATCCACCTGGTCTTTTTCGCGGGTCAAAAAATCAACGACTGCTTCAAACCCAACCGAGCCATGTTCTGCTGATATCTCCAAAAATCGTGCCATCTCACTTTTGATTCCAATTTCCCCCACCAGGATCGCCATCACCCGGTCCAGCTCTTTTCGAGTACCAACACAAGCTAACGATTCTATCAGGTACTTCCTTCCCTGTGAATTCTCCTCCGTTTCAAGTGCTTCCGTAAACCTATCTACCGCATTTTGTCTCGCACTTCGCAGTGCGTGGCAATACAGCCGCTGTTCAGCCTCGGATCGTATCGTCAGCATCGTTCTCTGCTGTAAAATGTTCAACTTGGAGATGGCTTGATCCAGACATTCTTGCTGTCCTATGCGACAGGAGAGATCAATCGCAATCAACTGAGCGTCGTAATAATCGGTGTGTTCGACTTTGCGTTTTTCAGAGCCATATGTCTCGTACAGTTCGTAAGTCAGTTCGAGCAGATATTTACGTAACATATCGAGGGCCTCGGGATCAATCGTGAGCATTTTCTCCAGCTGTAGAATGTTTCGATAGGCAGACTTCCACGGAAGGTACTGGGTATTATTGCGCAGATGGTCAAGGATCTGGAAAGCAGTGCTGTGGTCTAGGAGTCCAGCATGAGCAAGATTCATAGAGTCGTCGATTAACTGTCCCGTAGATATTGCATCTATCAAGTTTGGGTTAGATTTCAAAGTCGCTGCAATCGTTTTCCATGTTTGTTGGTCGTAGTTTACGCGGTAATACCCGGTTTGAGCAGGATTTATGAGGAATACATCATCTTCTTGGGTTGGAATATTGTGGGTTACTTCTTTTGTTCCTTGGGGCATCCAGAATAAGGAAGTTTTTTCGTTGGATCCGCCACTGCTGTTGGTGTATAGGAAAATTGGGATCCACCACGTTTGGTTATTTTCCGGAGGTTGAGCTGACGTGAAGAATCGCTTTTGATCGAAAATGACGTCATCCGATCCGGGTGTTCGCCTTACGCTCACCACCGGTACGCCAGGCTGATTTGACCATGATGCCAAGATGTGGGTCATTGAAGAGTCCGGTGGAAGTACTTGATCATCGGTGGCTGCTTTCTGAAGGCTGTCGAAGAGGTCTTGGGGTTCAACGACCGAATTTTGACTGTAAAGAAAATTATTCCGAGCTAATCTTCAAGGAATAGAATGAGAATTGACAACTTACTTCTGCTTTATGTAATGTCTAAGACCCTTGAGGAAAGTTTGCTCTCCTAATGCGTATTGCATCATCCTGAGAACGCTTCCAGCTGCAATTAGATTCTGAATAGAGTTGGGATGTTTAAATCACCAATCAATCTTATTTTCTTACATTTGTCATACGCGATTCGATCAAAAAGACGATCGATTTCGGGAACAGTTTCCACGTAATGTGTCATCGAGCGGACGGTTGCACTGCCGTCCGCTTGGAGGGCTGACTGTAGTGCTCCACTGGAGAAGAGTTGCTTAATCTTCAGCTCCGGATGCGTTCGATCACTCAGATAGTATTCATAGAGTGTGGCGAATCCTTCATTAAGCCAGAGATAAGACCACCACTTCGGTGCCAATAAATTCCCAAAGAACTGGTGTGCAAACTCGTGCGCTATAACCGTAGTTACCGATCGCCTGTTGTTGTCATTGGAAGAATCACTGATCAAAAAATACGCCTCCAGGTACGTAACAAGACCCCAATTTTCCATAGCACCTGCAGCGAAGTCATTATTACGGATACCGACACTGTCGATTTTACTCAGCTCGTACGGATGATCAAAGTACTTTTGCAACTCATCTATCAACTTGACGGAGGCATCCAGAGAGAACAGCAGTTGATCGGCATGCGTCGGACGGACCATTGATTGCACGGTAATCTTCTTCGTGGAGTTGGCTAAGTCCCGCTTCACCGCAAAGTCCGACACCAGAAAAGCGAGCAAGTAGGTTTGCATCGGGGGTGTTCTCTGGAAAGTAACAAGCTTCTTGCCTGCTGGTCTGAAACGGGATCATGTACTTTAATTTTTTTTAAAGTGTTTATTATTTTTCCGGAGATGAACTAGCCATAGGCTAAAAATCTCCTCAATAAAGAACTAAAAAAAAAACTTGTTTATTATGACTTAATAAGGCTTGATTTTCGACAACAATGCAGAATTGAGGGCACATATTACGGCTTGAAACAATGAAAATTCCAGTCGTCCTCGTTCCGGAAATATAGGACGAACTTCTCCTTGAACTGCAACTATCTAGAAAATCACAAAAACCTGGAAAAAGCCGAGGGGGGGCGACTCTATCTAAGATGCAGAAAAGATTGTGATTTGCTGTGGCTAGCTGCGTGCACGTTGAGTAGATAGAAAGGAGATTGATGACGATTCTGAAGATTTCCTGCAAAAAGATGATGCGCGATGCAAGTAGATGTGAGAAATGCAAGAAGATTTTTAGAAGATTTTTCGAAGATTGATTCGCTAGTGTGAGATTTTTTGAGCATCTTAAATTGAGATTTAGATGTGTCGCCCCCCTCGGGGAATTCAAAGTCACCGGGATAGATCCGATGACAACTCGGGAAAAAATATACTTTGTCCTCTCTTGGAAAAAACAAATAAAATTTATGACCTTGAACAAATTTCAGGCCTCATGCACTGGACTAGAATTTCGAGATAAAGTCACTTAGAAGAATTATTAAAATAATTTTAACAGTTTTGAGGACATTTTAGAACGAATTCGAGGGATAACTGTAAAGAAGCAACTCTGGCAACCAGGCCTATGTTCATACATCGCCTGTACTGTGTATACCGTTTACAGAGACTTGACTGTTTTAATATCAAATGTCATTATGTTCAATGTTGTTTTTCTAATCACGAATACCAATGTTTTTTAACTCTTATTGAATTTCCGCGTCCATCCGAAAAACCGTTTTAGGTTATGGGCCCAGTAATCGCGTAGTGCTGTTGACAGTGTTTATGATGGAAGAGGAAAAATCCGAACGTGTTTTCCTGCCACTCTTTGACGGAACGAATTTCGCGGCCTGTAAGTTCCGGATGATGATACTCCTGGAGGAGCACGAGCTCGTGGAGTGTGTCCGGACAAATGTGGTGGAGTTGCCGGAGTTCCAGGAGCTAGTATCGGATACCGTGGAAGTGAAAGTGCGAATACAGATCAAACGGGAGAAGCGTGACAAAAGGGACAGAAAGTGTAAATCTTTGCTCGTATCGAGAATTCACGACTCCCAGCTCGAATACATACACGACAAGCGGTTCCCGAAGGACATTTGGGATGCACTGCACCGTGTATTCGAGCGCCGAAGTATTGCGAGTAGGATTCATCTCAAGCGATCGATGCTTACTATGCGTTTCGAAGGAGGATCGTTGCAGCAACATTTCCTACACTTCGATAAACTTGTGCGGGAATACAGATCGACAGATGCAGTTTTGGAGGAGATCGATGTAATCGGCCACCTGCTGCTCACGCTTGGAGATTCGTATTCCACGGTGGTGACTGCATTGGAGACGAAGACGATGCTGGAGGCGAACCTTTCTCTGGAATTCGTGAAATGTAGACTTCTTGATGAAGAAACGAAGCGGAAAAGTGTAGATTTGTGCACCTCCAGTGGTGGAGCTTCGGGTGGAGCTGTCGGAGCTGGATTTTCTGGATCGAAGAAATATGTGAAGAATAAAAAGATTAAGTGTTTCGGATGTAAACGGTAGGGCCATAAACTGGCAGATTGCCTGTCGAAGCAGGGTGGCCAGACCTACCGATTTATCGGTAGTCCTACCGATTTTCGGGGTGCCTACCGATTCACAGACGAAAGGTTCAAAGCTACCGATTTTTCACTTTTCCTACCGAGAATCACAGATTATAAATAGAAAAATTGATTTCGACACGTTTAAAGCAGAAGAACTGAAGGACAGTGTATTGTTCTGGAGCACAGAGTCATCCCCTCCCCGCTCACAAAAGTTTCCAGTATCGGGAAAGCCTTCTTAAGTCGACCTACCGATAACTACCGATAAAGGTTTTGAGCAGTCTTGTAAGCGGTCACGGTAGTCGACACATTTTCTGTGATAATTGACTGCCTTTGCCTCCGATACTTGCAAAACAAGCTATCATAGTACAGTACCAAACTAAAATGTCGTATGACAGGCTGTGTCATACGGCACTGGCGCTGGAGACCGTCACGAATGTATTTATTTCAGTTTTTCTCATAATAAGAGCTGCTGATGGTGTGCTTGTGTGAATTCTGAAAATAGCAAGCAATGATGTCCTAGTAATAATATTTCTGATCAAAAATGGTTTGATTTACACCAAATTGAGGAATTACAACGAAATCACACATGTCATAAGATAGCTATTTTGATAATTTTCTTTTAGCTCGAATGTTATTCTACCGCTCGTGTTGTGTGAGAGAGACGACGGTAGAGCATGAGTGTTCGAATACAAACAGACTGTCGCGCACGACAACGAAGCGAGTGTAGTAAAAAACGTCAACTGTTTCAACCCCTGGTTTTGAGAAGCTACCGATAATGAAAAAAATAATCTGGCCACGGAATGAAGTGTGTTTCGTAGGTGTCAGCAGGGGTATATAGTGACGCTCTGCGGGAACCGACAAGAGTACAGTGACAGTGGTTCATTGATTCCGGGTGCTCGGATCATATAGTTAACGAAAAGTCGTTATTCGACGATCTGAAGCTGTTGGAGAGTCCAGTTCAAATCGCGATTGCTAAGAACGGTGAATCGATAGAGGCAAAATACTATGGTAACATTAAAGTAGTCTCCGTTGTCAACGGAAAGCAAAAGGAGTGCACGGTGAAGAATGTTTTGTATGTTCCTGAACTCCGGTGTCATTTGTTTTCTGTGATGCGCGTCGATGAAGCCGGGATGAAAGTGACATACAAAGATGGAAAAGTAAATATCCATTGTGGTTCGAAGTTAGTCGCTACGGGTTCGCGTGTCGGTAGACTGTACTGTTGGAATTTCTACATGAACAAACGCTGTACCAGTGAGTCGCTGTTGTCATGTGGTGTCCCGAAGAAACTCGAACTGTGGCATCGCCGTTTTGGGCATTTGAATGCCAGAAGCCTTGAGAAACTGATTCGTGACGGAATGGTTATCGGTGTAAAGATGGATTCTAGTGCGAAGGACAAAAACGTAGTCGTATGTGAACCTTGCACTGATCATTCCTTATTGAACCGTAGTCCTTTGTCTTTCATTGCTTCGGATGTGACGCCGTACACGTTGTGAGAAGGACACAAGTCCGACGTTAGCAAGTTACGTGCGTTTGGCTGTGACGTATACGTACACATCCCGAAGGAGGTTCGGACCAAGCTAGATGCCAAGGCATGGAAAGGCATTTTCTTGGGTTATGCGCACAATGGTTATCGGTTATGGAATCCGTCAGCAAGGCGCATAGTACATGCTCGAGATGTAGACTTCGTTGAATTGGAGGGTTCTAACGGTGGAAGCGGAGTGTCGGTGGGTGACGTTTTAACTATTCCCTCGGAGAGAAAACAGGAAGACAGCAGTGGTTCAGCGTCTGATCCATCAGAGGAATCTGATGATGAATTTGACAGTTTTCATGATGATGAGGAGCCGAAAGTAGAACCTGACTTAGATGAAGAAACTCGTGTTGACGAACTAGTGGAACCGGATGATCGACGACGACCGCAGCGCAATAGGGCGGCTCCCTCGTGGCATCAAGACTACGACTTTGAGTATGCGGCATATGCTCTTAATGCAACCAGCTATGTACAGAATCTGCCTAGCTCAGTAGCTGAAGCCCGAACTCGTAGTGATTGGGGAAAATGGAAGGTGGCTATCCAAGAAGAGTTGGATTCATTGTTGAAGAACAAGACTTGGAAGTTAGTGAAGCTTCCGGAATCCCGTTCACCAGTATCCAACAAGTGGGTTTTCAAAATAAAGTGAGGTGTAGATGGCACACCGGATCGCTATAAGGCGCGACTGGTGACTAGAGGTTTTAGCCAAAAATACGGTATTGACTACTCGGAGACCTACTCACCAGTCGCCAAATTGGATACTCTTCGGACTGTGCTGGCGCTTGCCAATCAGGAGAGGATGGCCGTTCATCAGATGGACGTGAAGACGGCTTTCCTAAATGGAACACTTTCGGAGGAGTTGTACATGGATCAATCCGAGGGCTTTGAAGAGGACAATGGACACAAGTGACGGTTGGAAAAATCGATATACGGTTTGAAGCAGTCTTCTCGGGCATGGAATGACCGGTTCCATGGTTTTGTGGTGAACCGATTAAAGTTTGAGCGGAGCAAGAACGATCAGTGCCTGTATACACGTCGAGTGGGATCAGAGAAGATAATTATGGTCCTGTACGTCGATGATATTATCTATCATTGTTGGTTCCCTGAAAGCTGTGAAGATCTAGGTTTTTTACCCAAAGTTTAGTTTCCAGCTCAGTTTCAGGAAAATATTTGTCAAGTGCCGAAGACAACTTGGTTAATAAACCTTGAAAAGTATGTATTAACGTTTTTGGCATAACAATTTTAATCCCGTGCAAGAAACAGTTGAGCTACGTGAAACATGTAAACTTTGCATTTTGTATTGTAGTTTTTCCACAGCTCAAGCTTTTTCTTGAAAGCAGTAATCTGTTCGGAAAGCTGCAAAATCCGTGACTGTTGTGAATGCGATAAATTAGCAATAATTGAAGAACGTTCTCGAATCACCCAAGACGATGCAAAGAAGTAAAATTTCAAAGTCAAATATAAACAGCTGTTCTGTTTCATCATCCCTTCGCTTAGTCAGGTTCAATGAACACGAGAGCAACGAAAATGACACAATATTATAGGTCAATTCTATGTAATAAGAGAACGCATATGCGGTACACTCTCGTTTGCTCAGTAGGATGTACCCAACGGGTGCATGCAGCATAAAACAGGCAATAAACTCAGCATAGGGAAATTATACGCTTTCACCAGTTTAGCTTTGGTATAGGCGCTGCGTAGGAGTCAAGTGCATCCTAGACGTATGCATAC